GTGATCCTGTGGGAATATCTTGCCATTATTTAATTAGCTTAATAATTCTCTGTCTCACATTTGGCAAATGATATTTCTGCAGGCTGGGGATGGTAAAATGTGGCTTTTTCCCCCCAAGTAGTTCCTCACTGTGGATTTATTGGCATCATTGCTGTGGCACAGTCTGGTCACTCAGGCCCAGCTTTTGAGCTTGATCTGGAGCTTCCCAACTGCTGTCCTGGTGATTTTGAAGGAAAATTAGATTCTTGGGAGTTTCAAACCACCACATCCATCCACATATTTTTCTAAAAAGCTTAAAGTAAGACGTTTCCTAGTCCTTCCAGCCACCAAGTGATAATCCTGAGCATGGACTTGCCTCTATGCCCTGCTGAGGAGGAGGAGGAGCTGCCACAAGAGTTGAGCAGAAAGGCAAAGAACCTCCTTGCAGTGGTGTTAAGATAAAATGAGCCTTTGGGACGCTAAAACAACTTCATTTATATAGGATGAACTTAATGAGAACAAATATTGAGCTGTTCCAGCACCGGGGGGTGGTTTGCTCCAGGTGATTTGCTCCACATGTTTCACCTTCTTTACTCCACATCTTCCACCTCCTCGAGGGAACAAGACATGTTTTGGGACCACAAGGCCTCTCCCAAGCCCACCACATCTGCCATTTCCCCCTCAGCTCCCCGGGCTGACGGAGTTGGATTCCAGGAGGATTCCAAAGCGAATTTTGATGCGGGTTCTTTGAACTTCTGCACTGTCCATTTGAAAGCAACACATTTCAGTGTCCTTAGGACTCAAGGTTCATTCAAGCAGTTTCTGGCTTGAATATATAAAAATGATAAATGAAACCTGCCTTTTCTTCCCCCCCTTTATTTTTTTTTAAATTTTAATTCTATGCAAAGGCACGTCCTCCTTACTTTGAGGCCATATTATATTTGATTTTTTTTTTTCACTTAATGCATTGTTTTAATACATTCCACCCTGCTCTCCTGCATTTAAATCATCCTTCTGTTTGCAGCCAAGCAGGAGGACAAAAATAACTGTGGTCTCATAGTGAATCAGTGGAATTTTCCTGCATTTCTCCCCTGGTGACTCCTAGAGAGTGTAAATGCTTTTGCATTTCTCTCTGCAAGAATGAGGTGGTTTCCCTCCTGCATTCCTGTATTTTTCCCTGTCTTTAGGTCTCCCTGGGATTTGGTTTTGTTTACTACACAAGCAGTTGTGTATTGGGTCATCATCAGCCTGAAATTAAGGTTTGAGGGTGGGGTAAAAAAAAAAAACCCCTGGCCTCGGGAGGGTCCATTTAAATGTGGATATCTGGGGGGGGGAGAGGGTTTCAAATCTCCCCAGGGATTGCATTGTCCATTGTGTTTCCTTATTATTTTTGCAGCCCTTCATTTCTTCTCCTCCTTTAATGCAGAAACACTAATTTTTTTTTCCTTCCCTCTGTTTTTGGGGTGTTTTTTTTATTTTTTTGGCCGAGGAAGGCGATCGTTGCTCTCTAACGGCTCTGCTGTTTTTTTTCAAGCTGCAGTTTTGTCTCCTCAGATAAAATACCTTATTTTTTTCTG